TATGCCAGGGCAAACAACCCCCCCAGCCAATCCTGCCCCAAGGGTTGCACGGGCATGGGGCCAAGGAGGGGGCTTGGGGACAAGGATGGCTCTTGGCATCATGGTGCTGCTACACAGCCAGTGCCCAGGAGGTTCAGAGCTGTGCCAGTCTGCAGCTGCCACCCTGATCCTGTGGCGTCTGTGGGGCATCTGGAAATCCACCCCGCCTCTTCCCCATCTGGCCCTGCAGGTGGCTGCTTGCCCATGACCCTGGCCAGGGTGGGGACTCAGGTGTGCCCTGTCCCACAAGGGCAGGGAGGCAGACGGCAGTGCCGGCTGGCAGGGTCGCCGGGCAGCAGCACCCCTGGGGGCTTCCTCACCGGCTGGTGAGCACAGTCCCAGCTGCCTGCTGGCCTGTACCGAGTGTGCCAGCTCTCAGCAGGGGCAGACAGGCACAGCCAGGTGGGATTAGCCCTTTGTGTCATCCTGCAGTGGCCCTGAGAGCACCCAGTCAGGAGGCACAGCGTGCCATGACCCTCCGGCCTGAATCACATCAGGATCCCAATGGGTACCCCTGATTACAGCGGGGGCTGGCACATGGACCCATTCCTGAAAAAAAGCCCTGGCCCCGGACAGCTGGTGTCCACCAAGCAGGTCAGGTCCCTCCAGGACAGCACCCTGAGGATTCTGGAAAGGGCAATTGGTCATTCTGGGGTGCCTGGCTGTGGAACTCCCTCCGTTCTGGCACACTCTGGGGCTGTCCTACCATGCTTGGTGTGCTGCTGCCACCCCCTGGCAACCTGCACAGCCCCGGCTGTCCCCCACGCAGCGCTGTCCAGGTCCCCTGCACCAGCCCAGTCCTGCACCCCAAACAAGCGGCCACGCGGGATGCAGGATGCCAGGAGGGCACAGAAACTTTGTGGAAGGGTCCACACCTCTCACCTTGCGCCAGAGGGGAACTTATCTACGGCCACCACATTCTTGCAGTGTGGAGGTTTCTGCCCCTCCCCTAGCCAGGGTGGACAGAATGGGGAGGGGGCTGTGGGGCTTGGGGGTGTTACCCACCCAGACGATGATTAGAAGGAGCCGAGGTTCCGTCCCATCGCATTAGGACTGTCCCCGCTGAGGCCCCACCGCCGCGGGGTGACCCCGCCGTGAACCGCCCACGCTGCCCCGACGAGCCACCAGACCCCTGGCACCAGCACCCCCCTTGACGGCAGTGTCCCCGCTGCGTGTCACCACACTGCCCCGTCCCGCTGCCTGCGCCTCAGGCATGCGTGAGGATGCGCTGGCACCGTGTCACGGAGGGGACATGCCATGGAGAGGTCACACCTGTGTGTCTCTGGGGACCACAGGCATCTTGTGACAGGCTTCCCGGTGCAGATGCTGGGGCACCCAGATACTCTGGGTGCCATCCCGGACCACGACCTGGAAATATCCAGTAGATGTCCCCGCTCACGACCTCGTGGTCCCTAGGGAGATCGTGACGCACTCACCGCGCCGTGCCACCCGCCGTCCCCAGTCCCCATCACACCGGGACACCTGCCGGCTCCACCGCTCTGCTCTGTGCGGGCACACGCTGCCCAAACGAGGTGCAGGGTGCCCGCTGCCAGGCCTCTCCTGAGGCAGGGAAGAATTGTTCAGGCAGGCTGGCATTCGGAGAACGGGGAGGACAGGGCTGAACTCTTGAACCTGCACCGGCAGCTCCCGACCAGATGCCAAGCATGGAGCACCCCGTGGTGCCCAACGTGTGAGCAGCCCCCGGCCATGCCAGACCCCCGTGCTCCCCTCACGGTTCATCGGCAGGACACGGGAGACGGTGTCACCCGTCCCTCCCCGCCATAAGGGTGAGGAATAAGATGCCGGTAGGGACTGCAGTCCCGAAACCCATCTCTGGCTGAGTCCGCAAAGCTCATCATACCGATGTCCAGTTGCGATCGGGGGGGCGAGGGTGAAGCCCCTCTGTCCCAGGCGGCGGGTGTGGGACGAGGGCTGCAAGAGCCCCGCGGGACATCCCGGACCCCTCCCGGGATATCCCCGGACCCCTCCCGGGATATCCCCGGACCCCTCCCGGGACATCCCCGGACCCCTCCCGGGACTCCCCGTCCCCGCCGCGAGGGGGCGCTGCCGTGCCCGCTCCGTGCCGGGGGCGGGGCCGCGGAGCGCGGGTCCATCCGCGGCCTTTCAGCGCCCCCTGCCGGGCGCGCGCGGGTGCGCGGGCACGAGGATCGCGCGCGCTCCCGCCGGTCCTGGCGGGGACGTGGCCCCGCCCACCGCGAAGCCGCTTCCGCCCCGTCTTGGCGGTGCGAGTGCGTAATCGCTGTGCGCCCGGCGGGAGCGGGAGCGGGAGCGGAGCCGCTGCCATGGCCGGGATCCTGTTCGAGGACATCTTCGACGTGAAGGACATCGACCCAGAGGGCAAGAAGTTCGACCGCGGTGAGTTGGGCCCCGGCCCGCTTCTCCCGGTCCCCCGTCCGCCCGTCCCGCCGGCGCTGGCCCCTCCGCGTGTTGCCAGCCCCCGGAGCGCCCCGCTTCGCCAGGGCTTCCCCAGCCCGGCTGCCGCGCCCCCCGCGGGCCCCGTGCCTTGCGGTCCTCCCCCACCGTGTTCCTCTCCCTGCCTGTGCACACCTCCGTCAGCTGCCGGGCTCCGGCATCCATCCCAAACCCATCCGAAAACGGCTCCGGTGCCAGCCGAGGATGGGAAGACGACCCTGTTCCAGCCCAGCCCTCGGGGGTCTTCTCTGTCCGGGTCCTTGACTGTGCTGCTCCCCCCAGTGTCGCGCCTGCACTGCGAGAGCGAGTCCTTCAAGATGGATCTCATCCTGGACGTGAACATCCAGATCTATCCCGTGGACCTCGGTAAGCCATCGTGCTCCTAGCACAGGGCGAGGTTAGGGAGGATGGAGCCCAGAATTGCTGTGATCAAGGAATAAGCTGCCTCTGACTTCCTTGTGCCCCTGTGTTGTCCCCAGGTGACAGGAGGTTCAGGGCACTCCCAGTGTACTGGGGCTGAGCTGGGTTTCTGGTTCACCTCCTTTTGTGCATTTGGGCTCACCTCTGTCCCTTTTTCCACAGATGCTGTCTGGGGAAGCTGCTTTAGCAGCTTTAAGGGAGACCTCCTAAAATTAACTTTTGCAGCTAAATACACTAAATGTGCAGAAAAGAGAATATTACCCTCAATGAAACACAGAAGGGCTGTCACTGGTGCTGCAGGGGGCTCATGTACCTGCCCAGGGTCCAGCCAAGTCCTCTGGGGGGATAGACGTGAATATCTTGTTGTGTCCCCTGAAAACACCAGCAGTGGCATCCTTGTGGCTCTGGTTTCCTCCGTGATGTGGGGAACAAGGAGACACAGGATCCAGCGTGACCTTTCACATGTTCCCCACAATCCTGTTGGAGGACTGGTAGCAGGGACAGAGCTTGTTTAGCCTCCCTTGCCAGGGTGGCCCTTTGCCACCACCCTGTGTTCTGGCTGTGTCTGCTGCTGCTCTGGTTGTGCTTTACTCTTCTCACTGCTCCTCTGGTCTCCTTGCAGGGGACAAATTCCGCCTGGTCATCGCCAGCACTTTGTATGAGGACGGCACGCTGGATGATGGCGAGTACAACCCCACAGATGACCGGCCGTCCAGGTACAGGGCCCAGCTGGGACCCACGTGGGCAGGGACGAGGGAAAAAGTGAAGTGCTGAGGTTGAATGTTTCAGGTTGGACACTAAGAGGAATTTCTTCACGGAGGGGGTGATTAAACATTGGAGTGGGCTGCCCAGGAGGATGGTGGAGTCACTATCCCTGGAACTGTCTAAAGAAAGACTGGATGTGGCACTAGCACTCTGGTCTAGTGGACAAGGTGGTTCTCAGTCACAGGTTGGACTTAATGATCTGAGAGGTCTTTTCCAATCTGTATTCATTCTGTAACTTCTCCCAGAGGACACTGTTTCCCTGGCTGGGGAAACAGCTAGGTTTGATTCCTTGCTGACCTGGGGCTGTGCTGTTGCAGGGCAGACCAGTTTGAGTACGTGATGTACGGCAAGGTGTATCGGATCGAGGGGGACGAGACCTCCACAGAGGCAGCCACACGCCTGTGAGTGCCTGTCGGGAGTGGGGGGATGCAGTGCCCCGGAGTGGGGAGCGCTGGGATCTCAGCACGGGTCTCCCATGGGCTTCCCTGCTCTCACTACTGCTCTCCTTTACCTCAGCTCTGCCTATGTGTCCTACGGAGGGCTGCTCATGCGGCTGCAGGGAGACGCAAACAACCTACACGGGTTTGAGGTGGACTCTCGCGTTTACCTGCTGATGAAGAAGTTGGCCTTCTAGCACGCCTCCGTGGGCTGCCCCACAGACATCCAGCTGGAGTCCTGAGAGCCCACATTCTGCTCCAGCATCCATGCTGCTCAGCCTCTTCAGAGCTGGGGAGGCAGAAGCAGTTCCCCTCCTCATCCCAGTGTCTTCCGACTCCTGCTGGGATCCACGTCTCTGTTTGCGAGGAGAGAGGTGCCTGACATCTGAGTGAAAACCACGCTGGGTGCTCCGGTCTTGGTTGATGGCATCGCCTCACCTTCACCTGTGCTCAACAGCCCTGGCTCTGGCCAGAATCATCGGGACTGGGACAGCTGCCTGCCTGCCTCTGGGGACTGGGGACCATTCTCTCGGGAACCATCCTGAGGCAGGCTGCCTTGGTTTTGATTAAACTGGGATGTTTTCTGCATCTGGCTCTGCTTGCTGAGAGATGAGGCTGGCAGGGAGTGGATACACTTGTGCAGGGGCAAAAGGGGGACCCTGCCACTTCACAAAGGAATGGGAAGTCCAAACCTGAGGTAGGTGGGTACAGAGAGGAGAAATGGCAGCTCAGGCACTGTGTGGGGCCGTGCTGGAGGATCCTGCAGCACTGGCAGCTGCTGCAGGTGGCAGTGGGCACTGGGCAGATCTGGGAGCATGTCTCAGAGGAGCTGGCTTCTTCCCTGAGCCTGGGCAGAAGGACACACACAACTCTTTAGAAAAATAGCTCTTTAATTGAAAAGCATTCACAGTAGAGGTGCCTGCCCGGATAGGAGCAGGGCCTGTGCCTGCTGGCACATGAGTGTCACTGTTTGCCTCCATGCGCTGCACGGTTGATAAAGACTTAAGGAACAGGTGCCAACCCTTTCCCTGTGAGCATCTTCCTGGGCACCCAAAGCACAGCTTAGTGTCCTGCAGGATTGCTCCAGCATCGCTTTGTGGCTGAACCCTGTGTGCCTCAGCCTCACTGGGCCCCGCATGGAGGGTCTCTGCTGTCCCCATGTCCTTGCTTGCACAAGACCTTGGCCAAGTCATAGAAGAAGAAGCGCAACTTGCCCTGTACCAGCTGCCGGTAGGTGAGGAAAATGCTGGTGATGTGGGTCTGCTCCATGGAGTGTGGGGAGCAGCTCGGCTCCCAGTGTCCTGCCTGAGGGGCAAGAGTGGGACAGAGGGGTGACAAACACCATTGCATCCAACCCAGCCCAGCTGGAACCTGTGCCAGGATGCTCTGGTTCATGTGGGGAGGTCTCACCTCCCAGCTGAAGGTCTGCAGGAGCAGGAAGAAGGAGTTGGCATGTCGGTAAAGCTGGCTCAGCTGCCTGGCCCCACACTTGTCGCTCACCTGGCCCTGGGCCCCTGCTGCAGCACCCACCAGCAGGGCCAGGTCACACAGGATCTCCCGACGCTTGGTCTCATTCTGAGGGGGCAGAGAGTGACCCCCAGGGCCTCATTGCTTCCTGTGCTCACCTTAGGTCTGGATGGGGTCCTCCACCCTCCCTGTGCCACCAGATATGCCTACAAGCATCTTGTTCAGCATTTCTGGTGGTTGAGCCAACCCAAGGTTCCTTCTCCAGTCCTGTTAGCACACCAGTGCCAGCACCCTCCTCCCAGCCCCTCTCACCGATTTGGATTTCCACTGCTGGAAAGTGAAGTCCACCAAGGGCAGCACTGCAGGGCAGCTGAGTGCAGGCAGGGCCTGGCACTGGTCCTGGTGAGGAGAGATGTCAAGGTGAGGTGCCAGGAACTGTGCATGTCCCTGGGCTTGGGTTTTGTGGGACACTGTATCCTCACCACTCTCTTTTCCATGTCCTTGGCCTCCACGATGTACTTCTGGATAAGCCTGTTGTCACAGACCAGCCGTGTTGGGCTGGCACGGTCCTCTTTCACGTGCAGGAGGAAGGATGTGAGGAGGAGCAGTCCTGGAGGAGATGGAGTTGCCTTGTGCGCTGTGCCAGCCTCCCTGAGCAGTGCCAGCCCAGAGCCAAGCCTGCAGTGGCAAGTCCTCTCCCCAGCCCTTTGGTGGTCTTGATGGCCCCGTGGTGGGATTGCAGGGGGAGGTGTGAGTGGCTGAGGAGGGCTCGGTGCTGCTCTCCTGTCAGCCAGCGAGGGGTGCCCAGTGCTCACGGGGGAGAGCCGGGGTTTCCATGCCAGTGGTGTGTGCCAAGGGGCCGCACAGCCATGTCTGCCAGGTTTTTTGGCCGCGCTCCAGGCAAGGAAGCAGGGCTGTACTCCCTGTGCAGACCAGGACCAGCCCTCCGGATCCCTGCCAAGAGCAGTTCCAGGCGTCATGTGCACTTCGGGGAATCCCAGCCTGCAGTGTCCCACAGGGAACATCTGCTCCTGGCCGCTGCCCTGGCTGAGTGCTCCCCTGCCAGCACTGCCTACCCCGGTGCTGCTGCACACCACTGTGCCCAGCAACTGCCCATCCTGACAGCTTCTCCAGTGCCCTCTGCATCCTCCTGCCTGCCTCACTGCCTGGCCTGGCACTACACCTGTCCCCAAAAATCCTCAGTGCAGCCTGTTTTCCTAGGATGGGCATGGAGAGATGCTTGGCTGCCCTTACATGCTGGCAGGGGCTGGATCCCACCAGCCCAGAGCCACCCTTGGGGTTTGATGCCCATCAGTGGGATTCATCGTGCAGGGGACACTCCGGCTGTGGGGCCACAGCATCCACTGTCCCTTCCTGCGCACCCAGTCCCCCCTTTTAGCCACACACTCACTGTTCAGCTCCATGCTCAGCTGGGGGCTTCGGCCCTGCATCTTCCACCCTGGGGCCAGCGGCTGCTCCCTGGCTCCCGTCCCCCTTCCATGGAGGGCAGTGGTGGCGCGGGTTCCCCGCGAGCCGCCCAGCCAGGACGGAGGGCCGGAGGCCGGGAGCGGCCCAGGACAGCACGGCGCGGCTCTGTGGCTCCGGCCTGGCCGCCCAGCCGAGGCAGCACGATTTCCTGTTGTGTCGCCGCTGACCTTCCAGCAAAGTCGCAGCAGGGGCCCCGGGCCCGGGGGAAGGCTTCCTGCCTCCGGCCGCTTCCTCCCTTGGCTCAGGGCACGGGAAGGGCGTCCCTGGGCGCCCTCCGTGGCTGCTCACCTGCCTCCAGGCCTGAGCACTCAGCAGCCAGCACCTCAGTGGTCAGTGCCTCAGCTGTGCCTGTCCAGGGGTGCAGGGTACCTGCAGAAGGGATGGCTTCAGTGACCCTGCACTGGACAGCCCTGAGAACATCAGCCCTAATGAGGTTCTGCTCCTGGCTGTGGCAGCCAGGTATGAAAGCCACCAAAAACCCTCTCCCAGAGGTGGACCATACTCCTTGTGACCCTCTCCCGGCGGTGGACTTCGTGCATGGTGACCTTTACCCAGTGAGACCCCGTCCCTGTTCACCCTCCCACAGAGGCATGCTCTGAACTCCTACATCCACCAGAGTTGACTTGAGGAGCTGGAGATTGCCGGGATGGCTATGGTTCACGGGATCCCCATGAGCTGGGGAGGGCGATGGATCACAGGGGTCATGGCTAGTCCATGTTTCACCAGGGGTATTGGTTGGGAGTGGGCTGGGTGAGGCACCCACAGATGCCCCCTCTCTGGGTAGGAGGAGCACCAGGGGCCTGTTCAGCACCATGCCCTGGCATGGCTCTGACATTCCCTGGCAAAGTCAGCTCTCACTGGTCACTTTGGCGTGGGGTGCACATCCCCATGCCCACGTGTATGTGTGTGTCCCCCCGTACTGCACACGTGTACACACCCACCACGTGCACCCTCAAACCTGCGTGTACACACGTGCGCTTCCCTGGCACGCACCGAGTGCCAGATAACCACGCTCAGATAACCCTCCCCCCCAGCAGCCCCCCAAGGCTTCCCTTCGGGGGACACCCGCCTCCCAGCACATATCCTCTCGCTCCCGATCTCCCTGCAGCGAGTGCGTTTCCTTCTCACACCCCGGCTCTCGCACACTCTCGCACGTTCCCACCCCCGTCTCTGTGGACAGCAGTTCCCGGCAGCGCCTGGCCGGGTGACAGCAGTTAAAGTAAACACCCCAGCCCCGCTCCACCTGCCCCGTGCCCTGCTCAGCCCACAGCAGCCCACCTTGCAGGGTGCCTGGATGGGGGGTCCAGCGGGTGCCACGACCCCAGGGACGAGACTGGCAGCCCCGGCTCAGCCGGGCACAGCTGGCAGCAATGGGACCCGTGAGCACCGGGGTCAAACGCCTCCAGGCTTCCCCCACACGGCCGTGGCCCTTCTGCGGACGTGACAAGCTGCAATCACGCCCGTCAGCCCCTCTGCCAGCGCTGGCCTCGGGCCCGCCGCCGTCCCCATGTCAGTCCCTGCCGTGCCCCCACCATGTCCATTCCCTGTCCCTCCCTGCGTGCAAAGTCATTGGCGATGCCAGGCTGGAGAGCTGCGGTGCCCTGCATTCCTTCTTGATTAGGCAAACAAACCCATCAGGGGAAACTGGAGAGCAACTGGAAACTGGAGGACTAATGGACCCCCCATGGGCAGCCTAAGGTGCCCACAATAGTCCCTTTACTCCAAAATATTCCTTTTCAACAATGCCAGAAGCTGGCAGGCAGCGTGAGCCTGTGCCCGTGGGCAGCCTGGTATTCCTCTGCTGGAAAGGGCAGTGCCAGCACTTGCTGCCCCTTGCCAGGGGGGCAGAGGAGGATGTGGGGCAGAGCCCCTGCTTCTGGCCCAGCCCAACCCCAGGGATGTTGCGCGCTGTGGAGGGAGAGAGTGTGGGGGCAGTAAGTGAGGCACAGGGACCCCAGAGGGACACGGGAGCTCCGGCCAGGCAAGGCCGGGCTCTGGCAGGGGACAGGAAGCCAGGCGGGGGCCGCGGGGCTGCACAGCTGGCCGGATCCCGGTGCCAAGATTCCCACCTCTCCTTACAGGGTGCAAAGTGCTGGGAATCCCGCTGTAGGGACAGCCGTTCGCACCCACTTTGCCAAGGTGCTGAAGACAGCAGGAGGTGCCAGAAGTCAGGGAGAGGGGGGGGGAAGAGGAGGAAGACGCCGGACCGGGAGGGGGAGGCTGTGGTTCGGTGGCACAGCTGCTGTCCCCGCAGGCCACCCAGATGTGCTCGGTGGGCACCCGCAGGATGTCAATGCTAGCATGGGAAGCAAACCTGGCCTTCCAGGGGCAGGGAAAGGGGAGGTCTCAGCCCCCTTTGAAGCCCCCATAAAAGGGTCTGGCATAAAGGAAAGAGAAAGTCAAAGGAACAAAGAGAGCGGCTAATCCCGGCGTGAGCAAACAGCCCCGTTTGCTCAGGGCACAGCTGGCTCCGGGGCCAGGGAAAGGAGCACAGCGGGGCTCTACGGGTGCCAGGCAGCGGGGGACCCTCTACCCGGGCTGCCCCTCCCCGAGCACGGGCAGTCCCCGAGAGCAGGGTCCCTCCTGGACCCTCCGGGCGTTTTTGCTACATATGCAAATTGCCAATAAACATCCGTGGGCAAATCCTATTCCCCGCGCAACCTGGTCCTTGTCCTGCTCCCAGACAGCCGTCCCAGGAGAACACCCACGCTGCCGGGACACGGACTTGCAAGGGGCACCTTGGTCGGGGTGCAGCAGCTTGGGGATGAAGGATGGCAGGGTTTTACCTTTCCCAATTTTCAGCAAGCCACATGCTGCCTAGCAGCCCAGCACAGAGCCCTCGGTGCTGCCCAGAGGATGTCCATGGGCAAACTCTCCTTGCCTTGGGCAAGGGCACCTAATGCCAGCGCCTCTGCTGGCATCTGGGGTGATTCCACTATGCCTCCCCTACCATCCCGCTTCTCAGCCAAGCTTCCCACTCCAACGGGGCACACGGAGCCTGCTGAGAGGGCACCTCGTCCCTCCACCTCCATCCCATGGAGAGGAGAAGGGGTTAATGCCAGGCAGCCGAGCCGCAGGTGGGCGCAAGAATGAAATTCCTTCTCGCTGTCCTGCGAAGTCTGGGCACAAATATTTGCCTGCATGTCCGGTGGGGAGGGGGGAGACCACCATCGCTTCTGGGAGCTTGCTAATCCCCATGCCAAACAAGGCCCCCACATGCCCCCCGCCTTCCTCCTGCTGGGGTCACCCTGCAAAGCTTTTGAGGAGGGGACATTTGGGGTCAGGGGGACACCAGCACCTCTGGGTGCTCCTGTGAGCAAGGAGCTCTGTGGGGTTGACTGGGCACTGGGAACAGGTATCTTGCTCTGGGACACTGCCAGGATCTGCTGGGCATGGCAGATGAGACTGTTTTGGGGTTTCCATTCCACTCCCTGAGCTGTGGCCACCACAGCAAGATGAGATGAAGGCAAGAGCCCCAGCCACCCCCACCATGTCAGCAACGCACCCTCCATAATAAATTCCATGTGTTCACATATATAAAATAGCCAACTTCCCCCGCTCCATTGCCCCCCCCCCAAACTGCATCCCCCTTTTGTACCTAGCACCCCTAAAACTCCCTCCATCCCCAGACCCCCCTGGCCTTCATCTGGGATGGCCCAGCCCTGCAAGTCGCCTACCAGTTGTGCAAATATTGCCGGAACAGCTGTAATCCCTGTGTCCAACGTGAATTATGAGATATTTCCACCCATTACGACAGCCCCCCCCGCCCCGCCGCGTGTGTGTGAGGCCGGGGGGATTAGACACGGCACAAGCCACGCTCGGCACAAAGCTTTGGGGTGGCTGACGGCTCTCTGCATCCCGCAACGGGGCGGGGCAGTCAAGGGGGGCTCTTTTTGGAGAGAGGGGGTGCCCCATATGCCTTCCCATCTTCAGGCTTATGCCTGGAGGGTGTGTTGGGGTGCCCAGAAGGCAGCGGGAGGCTGTGAGAAGGGGGGCCCAGGGCATCCAGTTTCACCACGACTCCATCCCTGGGGAACGGAGGCTCCTTCCTGTCGCCCTGAGCCGGGCTCATGTTCAAAGCCGCGAGCAGGCAGCAGCTAATGAGGGCAGACAATGGGAGCTGCGGAGGGCAGAGCTCGGGTGAGGGCCTGCTGAGACGCCCCCACGCCAGGCATGGCACAGCCCTGGCACCACGATCCTCTGGAATATTCCATGCAACCCTCACCACTGGGCAGGGCACGTGCCCACAAAGCCCCAGCAGAGCTACAGGCTGTTCTGTAGGGCATCACTGGGGCTTCCCACCTCTACTTTGATGGGACAGGAAACACCCCGTGGGACAAGCCAGTTCCCACCCTGGGAGAGATGGTGGAGGGTTGAAAGTGCCATGCTTGAGGCTGTCCATGGCCAGCCATCTCCATTGTGGTGCAGCTCCAGCTGCCCACAGCTGGCAGCCCCATTGGGGATGTGCTGGTGCCAGGCCCAGCTCTGGAGCCTCAGTGGTGCCTTTGTGCCGGGCTCTGATCCTTGCACACATGTGTGAGTGCTGGGAAGCAGCTGGTGGGCTTTTCCCAGCACTGGCTGGCACCATCCCCTCTCCAAGAGCACAGGGACCCCCAAGGCTGTCAAGCCACTTCTGCCTACTGATGAGGGCACACCCTGGCTGTGGACGAGGGATGCCCAGGCAAGGCCCTTCCTGGGCAGGGATGCCCAGCACCCTCCTGACCTAACAGGCCCCATGCCAGCTTACCACCCTGCTCCCAGCCTGGCAGTGCCGGATACCCTTGCAGCCCCTCTCACTCTGGCACCCCGTGCCTCAGATTCCGCTGTGCTGAGGGGCTGCAGCCAGGCGGGTTCCCCGTCTCTCCTTCCTTTCCCCGGGAAAGGGGAGGGAGCTTCCCTCATCTCTTCCCCGTGTCCCGCAGACGAGCCAGGAGACTGTGACGAGCTCTGGGTGCACAGAGCCAGCACCGGATTCCTGGCACCGGCGGGACAGCTGGGAGCCATCGCCCGCCTCCTCCCTGCTCAGCCCCGCTCACGTCCCGCCGTCCCCAGAGCCGCTGCTGTGCCGCAGCGGGCACCGCGCAGCGACGCTGGCACAGCCA